CCTGTACCTTGCTAAATTAAGTTTTAGATGCATGTTTTCACTTTTATTTGCTTGTAACCCTTTCTAACTTTATTCCCCTTACTTGGCATCACCTATCCTATGCCCCGTTCATAAATTTGTTTTATTTTTACTATAGACTAACTAAGTGCTGGGTTATTTACCCCAATTAAGTTAATAAGTTGCAGTGTGCTTTTGTCTCTTTAAAGGAACAAACCTTATTATTTATTTATTAATTATTATTATCTATGGAATGTTTAGATGATTCCCATTTGTTTCAGATGACCTTAAAGGAAGAATTACTATCCGACAGAGAAATTCTGGCAGCGGACTGCTCGTGGGCGCCTATCAAAACACAGGGGTCCTGAAGGGGGAATATGGGGACAGAGATTTCTGTCCTAATCCTGGATCTCCCGTAGCAGAGGTGCCACTTTGCTGTGAACGGAGGTGTTCCTGGGCAGGGTCTGAACGTTGCGATGTGGGCCACATTTTTTTTGTATTTACATCCCTTGCTCTGTCTATCTGGGAGCAATTAATGTCCCTAATCTGGCTCTTCACTCCCTAAGAGCAGACGAAGGCTAGAAATGAATGCGTGCCCTCCCCCCGTATCCCTGAAACGGACATGATTTTTCAGCACCACTCCATATTTAGCAACATGGGGGAGTTTATTAGCCACCTGCCATGAGCAACCCCCTTCCGACACTGCCCTGTAATCAAAGCCACCAGCCCACAAAGAGCACAGCATTGTAAACCCTCAAAGGCTTCCCCCCCGCCGCCCCCAGGAGCAGTCAAGGCTGCTATTGTTTCTGTCCTCCCATCCCCACTCATCTGCAATGCCAACAGCTGAACCTCCATCTGGCTGTGAGTAATCAGCGCCACGCTGGAAGACTCCAACCCAAAGCCGAAAAGTCAATTTGTTCTAAAATGAACAGGGCCAACGAACAGTGTTTCTTCTGAATGGCTGACAAGTATAATTAAGTGTATAATTAGGCTGGTGTGTTAGCCCTACCCCGAGATTTAGCCAAGCTATCAGAGGCAGGAGAATGTACAAAGCACTTATAAATGGTGGTTTCAATTAATGCTTCAAAAGGGCAATTTCGTCAACTGGGAAAAGCTTTAAAGGGACCATGGCTGATTTCCGCATATCAGGCTGCAAAGGGTAAACAACAAAGCACTTTTGCTGTCTAGATTTCTAAGCCACCTGAAAAGCCTTTGGCTTGGTCTAGATCAGAAAAGCTGCATCCATATAACTAGATCACTTAAAACTGATCTAGTTACACCAGTGTAAAACCCTAATGGAGACACACTTAAACTGGTTTTGCTCTCGCTTATATTGAGTTAGCTCAAATTGATACAAGCGAGGTTTGAACACGTTTAAATGCAGCTCCGGGGTTTGGACTCGGGTAGCTAGCTCGATAATACAGATCAGAAAAGCAACATGTCAAAAACCCCACTGGCTTGGACTTCAGGCTGTGAGCCACGTTTAGGGTGACCAGATGTCCCGATTTTATAGGGACAGTCCCAATATTTGGGGCTTCTTCTTATATAGGCACCTATTACCCCCTCACCTCTGTCCCGATTTTTCACACTTGCTGTCTGGTCACCCTACCCACGTTCAGATCGAGGGCAAAGTGGGTGAAACTTCACTGATGCCATCTGTGGGGTTTGCCCTGGGTCTGAACGCGCCCAACGTTTGTGGACAGAGAAAAGTGTTTTCAGGGGTAGTTATATGGTTGCTTTGGCTACCGCTGGATTAGCAACTATCTTGTGCTGACGCTTTCAGTTATCTGTGCCCCAAGAGGCACTATTATATAAACATAAAAATCACAGCACACAATTTTAGGCTTGCAGATGGTATTTTTCAGTCATTTCCCTGGCAGCGGTTTGAGCCACTCGAGGCAAGAGGTGCTAATACCATCCTTAAAAGAGGAGTGATGCTTGTCTGGCTTTGGGTCAGAAATGCAGACCAAGGCCTGACTTGCTTTTTTGCCCCAGCCAGGCCTCTGTTTGCAAACCTGGGTGGAAGGCTCAGGAGAAGTGGCTTCTAAGGGGCTTCCCAGCACTTCTAAGCCAGAAATAAGGTGAGAAGAGCCACATGGGGCTATTCTGGCCCTTCCACCCTGAACCTAGGGGCACCCAAGCAAGAGCAAAAACCGGATTGGGAGGAGAAAGGTAACCTAACATTTTAAGAAGTGGTTTGGTTCTAGAATACAACACTGTGACACAAGGGGTGTGACGCTGTATGGAATACGGGAGGCACTTTATGATACTGTTGATACCAATATTATAAAATTGCAAGGAATCTGACCAGGTATGCCATGTGAGGTATCTGTGAAAATGTTATGATTCGCAAAGTATGATAATCTCATGTATATGTTTGTATCACCTTTGTATTGTAAGTTATAGATATGTAGAGTATGTCTGTGTTTCAAAACCTGTGCTGTGGTTCTGGGTGACACCCCCACACAGATTGGCATCAGCACTGCCTAGCCTGTTCAGTGGCACATCAAGGGTCACCAGCGGTACAATGAACCCACTGAAAGGAGCCAGGGTCTACATCTATTGAGTCAGCAAGGCACGTGGTATGTCTGTGGACAGAGAACTCTAAGGCTTTTCCAGGCCATGTGCTGGGAAGCTTGTGTTTGGGACGGAGAAGTACAAGCCACGTGGCAAAAAGACTATAAAAGGCTGCGGCGTTAGCTCCATTTTGTCTTCATTCCTGCTTCTTACCTCTGGAGTAACTTCTCTACAAACGAAGCTCTGAACAAAAGACTGAATGACTCATCCAAGCCATGGATGTTCCAGGGGGACTTTCAAGCCAGCAAACTCACCAACACTGCCAAGAACCTGCTACATGGACTTTGAAGTCTCTGTACGTATCTGAGTGCTTTATCATTTACCAACTCCCTTCTTAGTCTTTCTTTTTTCTTTATAATAAACCTTTAGTTTTAGGCACTAAAGAATTGGCTGGGAGCGTGGGATTTTGGGTAAGATCCAACCTAATATTGACCTGGCAATGTGGGGTTCAGAAGAACATTTTGTATAGTGGGCAGAGTTTTTCAAATAACTCTCACTGTACTGGACCTAGGTGCTGATTGGGAGCCAGAGAACTGGAATGTGAAAAGGGGGCTGTGTGATTTTTTTTTAACTTGATGACCAGTGTGGGAGATCAGAAGTACAGTCTGTGACTGGTTGGTGAGTTTAACTTCAGTGTTAATCACCAGTTTTGGGAGTCTCTACTCCACCTTTTGCAGCCTGCCCCCCCTTGGCATTTTCAGAGAGGGCTACCCCACGCACCCCGGGTCACAAGGGGGATGGCTCTTATTTTTTCCCATCTTTACTCAGAAACTTTCCCTGCCCCTTTCTCCATCATGTTCCTTATGGTGCCACAGGGAGCTGCCAGCCCTGGGTAAAACAATGTTTCCGCTCACCCAGAGATGTGGCCTCACATTGCATCTGAAGAGAAAAGCCGTCACCCATCTCTTTCAGACCCCCTGATCCTCTCCAAAACAGGACTGGGCTCTGAGTCAGCGACATGTTCTCTGAGCTCAGCCCAGGTCTCAAATGCGGGTATTCTCCTACGTGGTTGGACACATGTTGTATTTAGGTTCCTCTGTGCAAGCTGGAGCCCACCAGTGCAGAATAGCCTGAAAAGCGGGGCCCACCCTTTCCTTTTTGCCTTGGCAAACACCCCCCTAAAAACGTGCCGAGCAAGCAATTTGCAAACCCGGGCCGAGTTAGCCAGGTACAGTAACTATATTAGCAACAATTAAGACGCAGCTGGGGGAGGTTTCCCATGATGAGATTTTTCCAGCCTAGGTTTGCAATTCTCAAAGATAGCCCATAAAAACCAAGCACTGCCCATGACGGAAGCTTTCAAGACTGGAGAAGAACTCCCTCCGTGTGTCTTATTAGCATAATCCACGTCTTCCTCCCAGCAGGGAGATCTGGTTCGCCCTGATCCGGGCCAGTTCGTCTTACCTCCTGGGAGATTTCAAGATGTTTCCTTGCAAAGCGCAGGGCTTGGTCATGGTTCCCGAGAGAGACATAGGCATTTCCTAGACTCCAGCAAGCTCTTCCTTCTCCCACTCTGCAAAACAGGAAATCATCATCCATAGGCGTTCTTGAGACGCAGCAAAAACCAGCCATTTCAGGACCGGTGTGTTTCTGGCCTCTCCTTGGAAGCCTCAACGGCCCTGTTTCCATGCCGATTTCTGTGCCCACTTCTGCACACACAATCAAGCCTGCGGGTGAAATCCTGATTCTATTGAAGTCAATGGCAAAGCTCCCCTTGATATCAATGGGGTCGGGATTTCACTCCATATCTTATAGGGCAGCTATTTGCACGGCATCTCGCTGCACCTGGAAAAGTGGCTGCACACTTACAAGCCGCGCGTGCAAGCTGGCTGTGCAGAATGAGGGCACACCCCCTTTTGTGAAGGCAACCAGCTGGGACAGCTGACCTGGGCAGAGAAATCACAGGCCCTGGCAAAAAAAACTGGCTCTAGACATTAAAAAGCCTGGGCCAGATAATCAGTGGTGTAAATCAGTGTAGCCCATCAACTGCAATAGAGCTTCATTGATTGATGCTGGCGGGGGATTTGGCCCACAGGGTGCAGGGTCAACAGTCAAGAGGGGGATTTATTTGAAGTGCCTTGTGGATAAAATGGCCTTTTGAGAATTCCTTCCTTCCTGAGACTGGTTTTAATCACTCCAAAACCACCTTGATTTTTTCTCTCCGGTCTCCAAATCAGTTTTCCCCCTTGCCGGACTTTCCCTCGTCCTGGGGCGAGCAGCTGCCTCTGCAGCACTCCCACCCCCCCGGAGAGCAGAGGGGTGGGAAACTGCCAATCACTCTGGGGGTCCCCCGTGCAGCAGAGCACAGACGTGGCCGTCCTCATCTTCCAGCCACCACCAGATGTTCAGCGGGCTGCTGTCCCTGAACTCACCCCCGCTACCCCCTGGCGATTAACCCCTTCGCTGCGCACACACGTTCCCACAGCAACAGTGACAGGGCAGCCAAGAGCAGCCCCCTTTGCTCACGGGCCAGGGGCAGGAGCGCAGCACGGATCAAACACAGCAACAATGAAACCTGCCCATGGCACTGGACTTTCAGTGGGCGGCCCCATGGGCCACACACAGACTGCAGCAGCCGACAATAACCTCAGTTACCGCCTCCTCCAGGGCGCAGCTTTTCACAGTCCACCCCACTTGACTTCAGGCATGAACCTGAGAAAGCAGGCGAGCTTTACCCCAGGCCCTGAGGGTCGTCAGGCTGTCAGAGCAGCGGGGGAAGGCCTCCCTGCACTGAGAATGCCCTACGGTCAGCCCTCAGCTCTTGTGAGCCAGGGAGTGCTAGAGAGACTGCCCACTAGCACACAACTAGCCCAATGGCATGTGTAGTAAAAGGACAGGTGCCTATTATGTACCATGGAGCGGAACCCCATGCTACTCAAGGGGTGCAGGCGGGGGGACCTACGGAGCCCCCCTAAACCTGTTCATGAGGAAGACCCCATCAGGGGATGGGCTATTTGAGGGTTTCTCATTTTCAGTGTTTTGTTTTGTTTTTTTAAAAGGAGATTGTGACTCACTTTTTAGGGTTAAACATCATCCCCCCACTCCCACGTTTAAGCATTTCCTGTGAAGTAACCCCTCCGTGCTCTGCTCTCCTCTCCTCAGAGCCAGCTCCCAGGGAGGCCGGAAGATCTTTACAGCTCACCAGCCTCCCATAAAGACTGCGCCCAGCCCCACACAGGAATGTATCACCTCTGTATTGTTCAGCCTGTGTTTGATAAACACCTGTTCCCTAGGTTTTGCTTCTGTGCTGCTTTTACTAGCATCAACCTAAACACAGCATATCCCCTCTCAAGGCCACCAGCCCCCTTAATGTCCGATGGACTCCTGGGGGGCTGCTGGGAAAGAGAACGCTCTCCATCTCCGAGCGAGCCATCAGAACCGGCATCTAACCCAATGGGATTTCTTGGTTTCTGATCAGATAGAAAATGCCCAGAAATATGCAGGCTGTCTCCATTTTAATGTCCATGCTCCATCTAGTGGCAAGGGCGCTGGGAGGATTTTTATAGTGGGGATGCAGAAAGCCATCGAACAAAGCTGCAAAGTCGGTCTGCGATAGAAGTCGTGCATTCGCTTGCCATTATTCCTTCAAGCCAGAGGGTGCTGCACCCCCAGCGCTCTTTGGCCCAGCGCCCCTGGGGACTGGAGCATGCCAAAGGCTCTTTGGAAATTGCTCAGTATGGGGCCAGTGAGTGGTATTTTCATAGCCTGATTAGACAGGAAGGCCTATTTCAACACACCTAGTCCATCCTCCGAGTGCAAGGCTGTTCTTCGTGCAGATCTGTAGCACTTTCTCCTATCTCGCTTTCACGGACTCGCAGAAGTTAGAGCTGGAAATGACCCTTCGTATGGCTACACTGCGATCACGGGCTGTGACTGCAGCTCCTGTAGACCTGCCGCCCATTCCTCTCCCTGCCGGCGCAGAGTTGTTCTTTACATCCCATTCAAGGGGTCGGTCCTGGGGCTCGTTTTGTTCAACATCTTCATTAATGATCTGGATGATGAGATGGATTGCACTGTCAGCAAGTTCGCAGATGACACTAAGCACAGGGGAGAGGTAGATAGGCTGAGGGGTAGGGATAAGGTCTGGAGTGACCTAGACAAATTGGAGGATTGGGCCAAAAGAAATCTGATGAGATTCAACAAGGACAAATGCAGAGTCCTGCACTTAGGACGGAAGAATCCCATGCACTGCTACAGGCTGGGGACTGACTGGCTAAGCAGCAGTTCTGCAGAAAAGGACCTGGGGATTACAGTGGACGAGAAGCTGGATATGAGTCAGCAGTGTGCCCTTGTTGCCAAGAAGACTAACGGCATATTGGGCTGCATTAGTAGGAGTATTGCCAGCAGATTGAGGGAAGTGATTATTCCCCTCTATTCGGCATTGGTGAAGCCACATCTGGAGTACTGTGTCCAGTTTTGGGCCCCCCACTACAGAAAAGATGTGGGCAAATTGGAGAGAATCCAGCGGAGGGCAACGAAAATGATCAGGAGGCTGGGGCACATGACCTATGAGGAGAGGCTGAGGGAACTGGGCTTGTTTAGTCTGCAGAAGAGAAGAATGAGGCGGGATTTGATATCAGCCTTCAACTACCTGAAGGGGGTTCCAAAGAGGATGGAGCTCGGCTGTTCTCAGTAGTGGCAGATGACAGAACAAGGAGCAATGGTCTCAAGTTGCAGTGGGGGAGGTCTAGGTTGGATATGAGAAAACACTATTTCACTAGGAGGATGGTGAAGCACTGGAATGGGTTACCTAGGGAGGTGGTGGAATCTCCATCCTTAGCGGTTTTTAAGGCCCGGCTTGACAACGCCTGGCTGGGATGATTTAGTTGGTGTTGGTCCTGCTTTGAGCAAGGGGTTGGACTAGATGACCTCCTGAGGTCTCTTCCAACCCTGAGATTCTATGATTCTTCTACGGAATAGCTCCTTCCATATGCCTCACAAGCAGTAGATCATTCTCACAACACCCCTGTGGGGTGGGGATTTGTAACCCTATTTTATCAATGAGGAAACTGAGGCACGGCGTGGTGAAGTGGTTCCTCCAAGTACCCTAGTGAATCAGTGACAGAGCCAGGAATAGAACCCATGAGTCCTGATTTCCCAGTTCACTACTCCACCCATTGTGTGAAAACCCTCGTTATACACAGCCCAATATTCAACTGGGCCTGGTTTTGGATGCCCAGCTTGGGCTGATTTTCAGAAGGGGTGGCGCATCCGCAATGCCCATTGACTTCATCTGGGACGTGGGTGCTCAGCACCTAGGAAAAACAGGCCCTTTGTGGATGTCCAATTTGAGACACCCTCTTAGCGAGGCCATGTCCACTCTTTGGGTGCTTTGACCACCCCCTTTGATGGCACAGTAGATCATTCAACTCAAATGCTCTCCCAGCTGAATTCTTCCTTCTCCATTTTGCAATGCTCATTTCTTCTAGTCGTTTGCCAATTCCTTCTCTTGAATCTTTTGCTCTGTATGAAGCTGAATATCCATCTTGCTCAGGTTTTAAGAGGGTCATTCGCAGAGATCCTCAACAAGCTGGCTGAAAATTCAGTTAAGGACTTGCAAGAGACTCGAAACCCGGCGTGGCAAAGCTCATGAGACAGAAAACTTCACACAAGGCTGGAGGTAGACGCCGTAACGCGTTGGTAATAATTTATCTATGGAGCAAAATGCATTTCCCTACCTATTCCGACTGACACACCATTTGTTCCCAAATGCCATTTCTGGTTACATCAGAGTGGAATCTTATCGCACCTTCTCAGAGCTTCCATTATGAGCGAGACACAGCGGTGGGGCTTTTGGGTTCATTCACTGCTCACTTTGTTCCTTAGGGAGAAGCTATTTTTATATCCCAGCGGGTGCTCACCAGGAGGTGGCTGGGATAAACAGGAGTAGCAGCTGGGACAGAGGGCTGAACACAACAGACCTTTAGTAATTCTCACCAGAGAGCTGATATCACCCACATTAACACAGCTGGGCGTGGGGCTTTGCCCCCATTGTAGGGGCTGGACCATAGGAAAGGTTTATGAGTCTGCTTGTATTGCAGAGCTAATGGTCTTAGTCCTTTAGCCCTAGAGGCTCAGGCTTTTAGTCTGAGAGACGCCCGGTTCGATCCCCACTGAGGCCATTATACTAACAAGACACAGATACGGTCCCAAATCTCTCACCTGTCCCCCAGCTCCTGCGCTATCAGCAGGTGCTTTAGATGGTACTCGATGGCTCGCTCGTAGTCTTGGAGCAACGTGTAAGTGTTTCCGAGGCTGTAGCAAGCCTGAGCTTCTACTGCTTGGTCTTTCAGTTGTCTGGAGAGTTGGAGTGTTTTCCTGCAATAAACAGATGGAGACACAGACACATTCATGCACAGCACACCTGCAAGCCAGGGAGAAATGCTGATCCGCTGAGGGCAGATTCCTCAGGGAGTTTATCTGAAGCCAAAGAATGCCACATTCTAAGGAGGTGGGATTCCAACTCGTGTAGACACGCACTGGAGGTGGGATTCCAACTCGTGTAGACATCCCGGTGCTAGCTTTGACCGAGTGAGTGCACTAAAAACAGCAATGTAGCCACTGAGCGCCAAGTATGATCTCATCCAAGGTACATGCAGGGTGACTCGCTGCTCGGTCAGAGCTAGCGCGGTATGGCTACCCAAGGGGGGAAATTTCTTTCCAGCTCTAGTGTGGACATCCCTAAGACCTGCTGATGGCTGCCCCCGTCTTCCCAACCCAATGCTGTACCTCCACTGGCTTCAGTGCTTTACACCAGGGTGAATTTAGCCCCATTGTATCGATAAATTCAGCTCTGCTCTGTCAAGCAGAACCAACGGAGATAAGTTTTGGGTACGTGGAGGTCTGCAGAAAGGCTGGAGACTCTGTCACTCCTGTTACCCAGCAGCCTGTCCCTGCTCTTTTGGAATGTAGCCTCCTTGTGCACAGCAATTCCAGCACCAGCACGGCAGAGCGTTGCTTTGGAGAATCTGGGAATTTGGACTATAACAACATGCACCAACTATCCTCTGTACAAGTTACAAAAGTGGCCAGCAGGGGGCGATATGATGCACATCTCAATTGGGAGCCAAGCGCTGGCTGGAGAAAGACCAGACAGACCCTCCCTCGAACCGGCTCCTGTTCCCTGTGGGTGGCTTATACCTAGTGCTTGAAGCCCTGGGATGCATTACAACAGACCTGGGTTCCCGGGGGAATAGTTTCGCTCAGCCTGGCTGCTCTTGTGCATTCCGCAAAGGCAGAGAGCCCAGAGCCCGGCCTCTGCTTCCCCCAAACAGCCGTGGCACTTACTTGTAGTACTCCGCCGAGATGTCAAACCTGCCGAGGAAGATGTGCGCATTGCCCAGGTTGCTGTACGCTCGCCTCTCGGCCGCTTTGTCCCCAAACTCCTTGGCGATGGCGAGTCGCTGAAACAGACACAGGCAGGCGCGTGAGAACGCATCGACTGCAGCCCCAGCGCCTCGGGGAAGCAGGTGCTACTGCTGGCAACTGATGCCCTCTCTCCAAGGCCCAGACCCAGCCAGCCACTGTCAGCCCGCGATGGTCCTGCTGGCTTACAAGTAAGCGTGTAGTTAAGCGGTCAGCTGGATGGGGGAGCGGGGGCCCAAATCAGCTGGAGAAGCGACGCGGCTGATCACTCCGCCGTAACGCCCAGGAGGGGTTCTGTCGTGCCGCTCAGGGACGGGGGCACAGAGCGAATCCCCTCCCCAACTGGCTTCGTCTCACCGAATCCCAGCCCCGCTCCTCATCCTTCCCTCCCTAGCTCTGCACTGCTCCAGCCGGGCCCATGTCTCGACCCTTAATTGGTTCTGCCCCACCCTCCCCTCTTCTCCCTGCTGCACCCTGGGCTTTGCACTGAGCCTGGAGCAGTGTCCCACGCCCTCCCCCTCCTCCCAACCCCATTGTACCTGGTGCTGTTTCTGCAGTTCCTCCCCCGTCCCGTCTTAGTCACTATCTATTGAGCTCCACGCGAGTTGGCCTGACTTGCAAAGGGGCTGAGCTCCCTGCAGCTCCCTGGGAAGTATATGAGCCCGAAGCCGCTTGCAGCAGGGGCCGTGTCACCGCACCCATTGGCCGAGCATTACAGGCCTTTGTCACAACACACATTCCCGAGGAGATGCCTTGTCAGCAGCTTGGTTAAACGCATTGTCGTCGGCAATTAGAACGAAGACTGGTAGGAGTTCAGAATGGAAGAGCCCTGCTTGGTTACCCACAATCTGCACCCACGCTGTTTAGAGAAACTGCCCGTGTGGTTCCAAGCAACCCCCCCTGCAGGGCTGTAGGCCTGGCTGCCCATCCCAGGAAGGGGAGGCCATGCCCAGAGGCTGCCAGGCTGACCTGCTCCAGGCAGCTCTCCATCCGGCCGTCGGCCTGGGACCCCCCCCTGCTGGGGCCCACTCTAGGATCCAGCCTGCTTTCTGTAGCTTCCCCCAGCTGATCTCTTTGGCCTTTGTAGGAATCAGGTGCTCTCCAGGCAATCTGGCACCTTGCAAACTACCGGGCTCCACTCAGAACACAGCTGGCTGGCTCCAGCCCTCTGGCCCCTATGGGGGAAGACTACGCTGTTACAAACCTACTGGGACTTATCCCATCCCAGATACCTGCTGCGCTGCTAAAGACAGCCTGTGTGACCTCCCCGCTTGATGCTGCTCCCGCCGCCGCTGACACTAACTCAGGCCAGTTGGCATGGCAGGGCCAGTCACCGGGTGGCCGGGTTACTCTTTGGTTGGGAAATCCTGGCTCCATCACAGCTCTGACTGTGTTCCTTCCCGGGGGAACTGTTCCATGCTGTGAGGTACCTGTCCCAGCAAAGATGGGGCCCTCTCTCTGCTTGCACTGCCTGGGTAAGGCAAGGAAGCTGGGTGCCAATCACTTCCCAGTGGGCTGTTTCAAGCAAAGGAGGCGGCAAATCATTTGTTCTGCAGCACTGAGTCAAACGGTCTTGTCCTGTAAGGTTTCGCTCTGCAGCAGGTTACTTAGCACCGCGGATCCGGCTGAGTCTCTCCCCACTCTGCACAAGGCGCGTTGACGTCGGGGGTGGGTTTTAATCCAGTTTCTTGTTCAGGACAATAGCCGGCCCTGGCGACTCAAGGCCTCTATTTATGCCCAGCCCGAATCCTGGAGCTGCCTCCCGTCTGCCCAGCGGACGTGCCTCGCCCCTGACGAGGGGAAGGACGGCTCCCAGGCGTGGGAGAGGAGCTCATCCCCAGGTTCTCTGCGCAGTGCATCGATCGGGGCAGTGGTCGGTATGTATATTAAACGTTTATACCTCAGGCAAATTGTTTCTGTGGATTGGTAAAAACACGGGCCTCTGGGAGTGGCCTCCAAACACCACTGATCTGTCTTCTGAGCACCAGGAGCCACCTTCAGCGCTCTGGTTCTCAGGGCTCTGGGCTAAGCAGGGCTGGCTCCAGGCACCAGCTTACCAAGCAGGTGCTTGGGGCGGCCACTCCGGAGAGGGGCGGCACGTCCAGCTGTTCAGCGGCAATTCAGCGGACGGTCCCTCTCTCCTGCTCGGAGCGAAGGACCTCCCGCCGAATAGCCGCCGCGATCGCGATTTTTGTTTGGCTGCTTAGAGCGGCCAAAACCCTGGAGCCGGCCCTGGGCCTAAGCATCTCCTACTCGGGGAGGGAGGCAGGGATAGCCCATCACACACAGAGTTTACCTTGCAGGGCAATATTCCCGATGGTGACCGATGACTATTTTTTGGTGGTTCTTTACATAGCCTGTCAGTAACACGTGGCTAGATCGCCTAATCTGACAGCAGCTGCCACGTGAGATTTTGCCACCTTCGTGTTGAGTGCCACCTTACTCCCACTGGCTTTGGTGGGAGTCAGGAGCTACTCAGCGTGAGGAAGGGTGACAGGATCTGGGGCATAGTGTCTGTAATGGGAGATGAAGGATATGATGCAGCTAGGGGTGAACGGACCAATGTCTAGTTCCCTTCTGCAGGCCAGGCACAAAGACACGTCTGAGGAAGCGACTGGATCGCCCACGCCCTATGAGAACGATTGACACCCTCCTTACCTCTTTGTGGAAAGCCGTGGCTTCGCTGAAGTTCCCCAGCAAGTACTGGGTATTGCCAAGGTTCCCATAGGCTCGGCCCTGAGCGGCTCTGTCCCCAAGCTCCTTCACCAGAGACAGATTCCTCCTGCAAGAAATCAGAGCAGCACGTGCGGTCACTCTCAGCCAACAGGCATCCGGCTCCCATCGACCTTAACATGAGATACAGAGAGCCCAGGGTCAAAGTAAGGAGATCTGAGGGGACACAGCTCTCCCGGGCCTGGGTAAACATCTCCCCTCACAGAGCAACAGTCTCAAGTTGCAGTGGGGGAGGTCTAGGTTGGATATTAGGGAACCCTATTTCACTAGGAGGGTGGTGAAGCACTGGAATGAGTTCCCTAGGGAGCTGGTGGAATCTCCATCCTTAGCGGTTTTTAAGGCCCAGCTTGACAAAGCCCTGGCTGGGATGATTTAGTTGGGGTTGGTCCTGCTTTGAGCAGGGGGGTTGGACTAGATGACCTCCTGAGGTCTCTTCCAGCCCTAATCTTCTATGATTCTACGATCTGCCCCTCCTCCTCACCTGATGTGGCGAGATCTCCCCCTCCCATTTCAATCACCTTTAATCGCTGGGGAGAATGGCGCTTTTACGCCTTCAGACACAAGTGAGAGATTCCACCTTGGGACACTTAGCATTTCACACAGGCCAGACCCTTAGCCGGCCCAAACCAGCGCCACTCCCTCAACTTCGGTTGAGCTGTGCTGATTTGCAGCAGCTGCCTGGGTGTTGAAACACCTTCAGGCCTGGTAAGAAATCGCAGGACTTTACAAAGGGAGAACAGTGTCATTATCCCCATTTTACAGATGGGGAAACCGAGGCACAGGAAGGGGCCGTTACGTGCCCAAGGTCACCCAGCAGGCCAGCGGCAGAGCTGGGAACTGAATGCATTACCACTGGTGCTGCTTCAGTGTCCCTTATTCTAACCATCTCTCCTTACACACAACTGCCCTGCTCAACCAGAAGAGCAGATACCTTCATGCCCAGAGTTATCTCAAAGAAAAGCCAAGGACAGCGTGTTGTTTTCAGCTTTGAAGTACAGTTTCTATTTCGGGGGATGGTCCTTGGGAGTCCTGCTCTGCCTCAGTTTCCCTGTCTGTCAAATGGGGATGATTCATCTCTCGTTTGTACAGTGCTTTGAAATCGATGGGGAAAAAGAGCCAGAATAAGAGTCAGATGTTATAATTATTATTAAACTTTGATGACGTCAGGAAGAAGCAAGAGAAACAGGAAAAAAAAAAAACAGGCAGGGCCAGGAGCTCTGAGCCATTTCTCTGCCTGCCTTCCCAGCGCCGGCAGCTGGGATGCATCGGAGATGAGCATGACTGGATGCAACACTGCAACAACAAGCGCAGTCAAACCCTCTGCAGTATCCGCTCAGCACGTTCAGAGCAGCCTGGCTGCTTCGGGCTGGCATGAGTTCACCCAGCAGATGCTCGACATGCACCTACTGCTCCTGGGCAAAAGGACGGGGAGCTAGATGCAGGCGCTATCACGTCTGCAGAGACGAGAAGACTGATGTAAGAGAGATGCTCGTCTCTCCCTTTCAGACAAGAAAGGTTATTTTTAAAAACCCATTTCCTTTACTGAAGTAAAGATCAAAGGGGAGAAACCTTGCAGTTAGTTCTAAATAAGCCTAGCGACAGCATTCCGGCACATGCCATCACAAACATATCTGCAGCCAGGTGGAAAAGGCAGAGTTGTTACTGTGGGACACGCTGAAATGCCTCAGGACTTCACGGTGACAGAACAGGAAACTCTTCTGCAGAAACACAGGCCCTGACCACTTGAACTAAAGGTGACTCTCCATTAGCTATTGCAATATAGGGCCAATGACACACAGTTGAAGAGTTCTAATTCTATCCAGTAGAGGGCAGTGGTGTGCACACAAGCGCGTTCATGAGTAGATTCCGCCCCGCAAATGATCATACTTTGTAGAACATTGTGGCATCGAAGCAGATGCTCAGGGACTGAATTTAACTGCGTGTGTTACAGTTTGACCTACTCTGAGCTATACTCAAGACAGGTAAACTCAGAAGCTTAGTTTGCAACTCTCTGAAAGGAGTTTTGTTTTATTTATTTTTAATTAAAAAAGCCTGGAGTCTTTCCTCATCCCTCCTTCTACAGAATCCCATTCCCAACCCCAGAAACCCCCAGGCAAAAATTAGTCAGAATTATATGAACTGCCAGAAAGCACCATCCCCACGGATTATTCTGGCTTGATTAAGAGAAGGATCGGAGCACAGACAAACGACATCCGACTCTGGCACATGAGATCAACTCTGGCCCAGCTTTTCATCTGCTGAGCGCAGTGTTTCTGCATCGCTGCTCATTCTCACGCAGCTGCCAGATGGGACAAAGCAGTTTATTCGGCTGCTTCTCTAAGCAGGTGCGCATAACAGTATGTGCAGCATTTGGGTCCCTTTAAACCTCAGCTGCTGAACCAGACCCAGCTGATCCCACCCACAGAACAAACATTCCTGTTCCCCTTTATCCTTCCAGGGAAAGAGAAAACTATAAGCCCTCTGCAAAAATGTGCAAGGTGTTTCCTTTTCCAATTGTAGGCACGGAAATGGTACCACACTATAATATCCATAGTAAAAGGAACAGACACAAATTCTAGGGGCCATAATGCAATTGTTGACTAACACTTCGTTCACTAAGGGTCATCACAAACTCTCTATTCCCCAGCAGTCTACCCCTCCTTTCACTTTGCTTATCCCACTCGCTTGACACGATTCCCTTGCTGTACTATGTTATTTCAGCCATCTTGTATTTGAGCTCACTCAGACTAGCGCTGGGGACTGCAGTTTGATGTACCATCAGTCAGCTCGCTAGCTTTATCTCCTGACACTATGTGGCAGGGGAATGAAGTTACAAGGGTTACAGGCACTGCACATTCTTAAAGGGGAACTGAGCCTGCTTCACAATAGAAAATAAGAGCGATTTAGGATTTCAGATCCTTGGCAAAGGATAATGTAGCAGGATATGATTATCAATACTTTGCAGCTATACAGAGCCTTTCCTCAAAGGATCTCAAAATACTCTGAGATGTTTCAAACACAAGGTGGGTGAGATCATCTCTTTTATTGGACCAACTTCTGTTGGAGAGAGAGCAGCTTTTCAAGCTCGAAGGCTCATTTCTCTCCAACGGAAGTCGGTCCAATAAAAGATATTACCACCCCGACCTTGTCTCTCTAATAGCCTGGGGCCGACACAGCTTCAACACTGCATTGAAATGTTCAATGACGTTTCACACAATGTGGAAACTGAGGCACAGAGAGGCCAATAGCCTGATTTTTAGAGGTGCCGAGCCCCCTATAGGTGCTCAATATCGTGGAATATCAGGCCAAGAGACTTGCTCAACTTCTCACACAGAACCCGAGAGAAACCTAGAAGTCCTGGCTCCCAGGCCCCCTACATTAACCAGAAGTGCCTGTCTCCTGCCTCGCCATTTACAAACTATCAATAAATACATTTCAAAGCAGTCAAAAATCCAATTCCTCCTTTGATGGCCTGCCAAGAGTAGAGTCTCTCTTCTGCCCGATCCCATAACATTGCCAGCACCTCAGGCAGGCTGAGGGATGCAGCCCTTTGAACTGGCAGAGGTATCCAATGCCACTGCCAGCCATGGGAGAATGAACTCCAAGCTCAGGTCTTGGCATCTAAGTTCCCCTTTAGTGCAGGGGAAGAAGGGTCTTCTCCAGGAGGCACTGGGTGAGGGTCTCTGACCTGTGTTACGCAGGAGATCAGCCTAGATGAGCCTAACTTCCAGCCTTAAAATCTCATCAATTTTTACTTTTCCTCCCCCCTTTCCGCCTTTATTCTCCTCTCAACAGCCCATATGGGTGTGCCCCACCCTGCCAAAGAGGTGAGCACACAGGCCCCTCTACAGGCAGGCAAGGTGGTCCTTGGTCAGCCAAAAGGGGTGGGTAGATGTGGGGATCACTGCGGAGGAATGCACAGCGCTCCCCTGCCCAAAAGCTCAGCCAAATCCCCCCCCAACCCCGAGGTCCTTGCTGGTTTAGTCAGGCGGGACCCGGTTGCCTTCTAAGTGGAGTGCTTTAAAGAGGGCTGTATGAAAAATGACTTGTCACAAGCCCAGTGCTGTTATCTTTCACCTGTTGGCCATCACCATGCTTCTGCAGCTCCCCAGAGCTGTCATCAGGACAGTAACAAGACACATGCACACAGCGCTGGAATGATGCACTCATCATACCGAGCACTGATAGAGTGCCAGACGCTTTGCAAGTTTGCCACGCGCATGATTGCGGCCGGGTAAATTACTGCTGACCACAACGGGGCTGTCTGTGCAGCCCCGTCCCCCGCAGATCTGGGAAGGGTTGGTACTTACTCATAGTATTCCGAAGCTCTCTGCAGCGTCTCCTTGACTTCTGGAGGCAGGGACCCTGGGTCTTGGGCCATGCTCCAAGACAACTGCTTTCCCTTTGCATGGTAAACATTGCCAATGTTATACAGCGCTCTAGCTTCACCTACCTAGAAAGGAGGGGGGAAACCACAAAAGAGCAGGTGTTACACTCCACATTGCAATGCCAAACTTCCCGTCTCTGGGCAAAGGGCAGCTAACCAAAAGCAAGGGCAGCCTTGTAGACCATTACAGCTTCATTTTAGACGCTGAGTCTGGGGGACTGGATGAATCCAAGGATTGTTAAAAGGACTAGAACCTGCCACCTTTAGGTCGCCAGTTCAAAGACAGCCCAGGTCAATGATCCCTAGCTCTTACCTAGTGCTTTTCATCAGTAGACTTCAAAGTGCTTTACAAAGGAGATCACTCTCATTCTCCCCCTTTTACAGATGGGAAAACTGAGGCACAGATCGGGGAAGCGATTTGTCCAAGGCCACCCAGCGTGCCAGTGGAAGAATGGGGAATAGAACTCAGGTCTCCTGAGTCCCAATTTAATGCTCTATCCACTAGGATTCATCGCTCTGAAGAGAAACCAGTTGTGACCGCAAGTCCTCATCCGATGGCTGCTTGGTGGCCTACGTGCAAAGGATGGTTTCAGTCCAGCCCCTCGTGGATGGGGACCATGGAGACTCCTATCTATACATATAACAAGCCCAGCACAGGCAGGAATGGTGCCAGCTATCCCACAATGCTCCTTGCCAATCTCCTGTGGGCGCGGAGCGGGAGTTCAACCCCTGTGACTCATACACTGACTGGCCTCTCTGGTGAAACTGCCAGCTCAATGCTCCCAAACGTGGTGGGGTTTGTGTGTGCGAGAGAGGGAGGCGTGGATGCTGGTCCCCCAGGAACTGGGCTGAGAGACACCCGGTTCATTTCACATTGGCCACCAAACAGCATGCATCAGAGAGACAGATCGGGAAGAATCCCTTTCCCTGACTCTACAACTGATTTTCAAGAACCATCCTGGAGTTCGCTGCTTGGCCCCATTCTGTGAACTCAAGGACTGTGAATCTCTATTTATTTGGGTTCAATTTTTTCTTTCTGGGGGAATCCATTGCTTCCTGGGTATTTTGGGGTTTTCATTCCAGGAATGGCCTGCCCACATTTTCATCCATTCGCACATTCCCTACTTCCTCTGCCACTAGCTATCCTGGTAACAGATCTGTAGCAGAAAGGGAGGGCGATACGGTCAGTCTCCTTCCAGAGCCAGCTTCAATGCTGTCCCAATTGTTGGCTGGCAGGAGGAGTCTTTTAAAAGCCAGGGAATATTTCCTGTTGGGCATTATGGATCAAGTACCTTGTCTCCCTGCTCCTGAGAAATCTCCAAGTGTCTCTGGCAACAAACGATGGCTTCATCAAACTGCCCAAGTATTTTCAATGTATTCCCAAGGTTGCCACTGGCCTTGGCTTCTCCGATACGGTCCCCAATGGTTCTACAAGATGACCGAAGGAAGGGGAAGGGCTGTTATAAATGCTGGGACTCAGCAGACAGAATTCAATCATACTGAT